TGAAGGACTGGTAGAAGAAGAATTTTCCCACAATGATATGAGTTGAGCTGACGTTTCCATTGAATTTAACGTAGCCTTGCTTACCCAAAAGTTGTTCTCATCCAGGGTGGACTGCAGTTTCGACAAACAGTTTCGAAGCTGCAGTCCACCCTGGATGAGAACAACTTTTGGGAAAGCAAGTCTATGTGAAATTCAATGAAAACGTCAGCTTAACTCATATGATTGTAAAAAAATTCTACTACCAGTCCTTCATCAGCTTAGACGAAATAGGGTGAATACATCTCATATAACCTACTTATAAATGAAAAATAAGTAATGTTGTCTATCGCTATGGCAAATACAACTTTGCTTCATTGACAATCCCACTACAGAATGTCATATTGGAGAGAATGCCTGACGTTCATTGAAATTCACATCTTTCCCGCGAGCACTTGTGGCCATCTGGCGTAGTGGTTAATGTGTCATGGTTCAAGTCCCACTGGGGACGCTGACGAGACCTCGGCCAAGTCGAAACTGCAGCCCACCTCATATGGAATGAGAATAGCTTTTAGAAAAGCATGGCTTTGCGAAATTAACTGGAAACTTTAAATCTACTCAGGACATTGTGAGAAAGATAATTTCCATCTCATCATCACCTGAAAAAAGTGGGTAAATACATCTTATCAATATGGCGACAACAGTGTTGTTTATCATTAAGGACAGTAGATTATTGGATCCAATTTTAGTAGAAATCTAATTGGCCTTTCGCAGAGGCCAGATAAATATTTTTCCATTTTGCTTAGAGTACACTGTTTAAATCATTCAGATGGTCTATGCAAACATTGGTCAATATCTGCAAGCTTGGAAATCAGATCCCATCTACTCGGCTCGATGAGTCCACAGAATACGTACTGCCCAAGGCTTGTGGCAGACCATGAGAAATAGCTTCTGGAGTAAAGAGTTTAGTGAAGTCATACTAAACTGGCCCAAAAGTGGTACGCTTCTTTAAGAGTCACAAGTTGCGATAGGACGAAAGTGATATGAGATGCTGGAGAATGGGCAAATGTGTCAGAACTGAAAGAGTGAGGACATAACTGTTCGGCTGAAAGTTGATCAAGGGATTGACTTTATTTGTCTCTTTCACGAGTTGTGCCTTGTTGCTAAGACTGGCGTGATTCAGTGACTTGGCCATTTAGACGTCTGGGGGTGTACCAATTCCAAAGTTGGAGGCTGGAAATTTTATGTGTATGCAGCTACTTCGAGACGTCTGAAAGTCTAAAAAACCCACTTATAGACTAAATATTTTGCCGTCGAAGCATCGCTGTCTTCGACACTTTTACCACTTTGATCAATCTGACTCCTGTTAACCGTTTCGGCCACCTACAATGCAGCCATTTTATCCGGGCTGACTTCCGAAAAGTGGGCTCGAAACCGCCCAACTAATGCCAATGTTCGAGCATCTCGGCCATGCTATACTGAGTTCCGGAGGCGAGAAGATGTCCTGCCTCAGGGTTCAACCACCTCTGGAGATTGTTGTCGAGATTAGCCACGAAGGCGAGTCAACAGCATCACTTCTTATTCCGGCCAATTTCTACAATGGCACAACAGGAAAGTCTGCTACAAAGCATGCATTGTCGGACGGACTTTCATTTCGTATGCAAGCGCATGAAGAAGAGATTGGTTGGTTGATCCCACCAGATGAGGACGGATGAATCGCGTTGTACCGCATCCGTTTGGCTTTTATGTGAAATTCAAGTTGAAGCAGTCTACAAGACCTACTCGCTCGTTTCGAGTGAAAGCCGGCTGAGCTTTCGTCCTTACGGACTCGTTAAGGAATTTCTCGTGGGTCGTTGAGCCTTGATTATCAGAGCCTGACATAAGCCTTTTGACATTTCTGATTTAGGACCGGTATTGTGTATAGACGCTAACATACCCACATACAGACACACACACACACACTTGAGCAAAAGTAGCAGGGCAAGTATAAAATATAGTTAGCCAAACCAGTCTATATCTGTATTTCTGTCTGTATGTCTATCTATCTATCTATCTATATACTTTTATTATATATATATATATATGTATATATATAT